ATATACTGGTATATATATAAATGACTGACATTATGGTTTGGCTAGGGAACAAATAGTATCAATCTTCATTTTCCGGCTCTTTGCACAATTAGCAACAGTTTGTCACATTACCATGTCATGTCAAGCGTTGTATGCCTCCCTTGCATTAAATGAACACCCTTGCCTAAATATTTGAGTATATTTAATTCACAACAAAATTGTGTTGAATTAATAATAGCTAATTAGTGTGATGCTAATTAAAGAACGTGTGACAGCTCCTCGAATGATAATGGAGCTGAGCCTTTTCACATCAGTGGATGTACTACTGAACAAACACATCATTAACATTGCTATTTTATTTAGAAATATTACAAACTTAAAAATGATTACATTGTAGCCTAAAGTTATTATTATTTAGTTGCATCTTTTTATATTTCTTTGTGCAATAAACTTCGGCTGGTGTTAGTGTTACTGACAGTATTAAAGTGCATAAGAAACATACAATAGAGGAAATTTAGCATGACTAAACCATATGAACTAATTGGGATAATAAATATGTGTACATTTAACATTTCAAATGTAAATTTATATATACCTACCAACCATAAAATACTTTTTACATTGCATTACTTGCCTCACTTCAAATCAATTTATGTTAAATTCCATTCTGGATAACAAGAGATTTGTTTAAAAGGTTTTGTAATATTTGAGGAAATGACAAATATTAGATACATATTATATCATCTTATTATGCTCTATTACACACTCTGCTTTCAAGACATTCTACACACAATTTTGTTTTGTTTTTCTATAAAATGCCTGACTAAATTTCACACACTTGGGATACCTAAGTGAGCAATGTGGCCCACCCCTTGTGTGTGACCTACAAAACATTGCTCTTTATGACAATGGTCCCAAAGCTCGGGTCTGTCTGTCTTGTTTCTGAGTCTGCTCTCAACAGGGAAAGAGTCTTAAAGTGGGGCTGAATGCCTTTACTCCAAGAGCCCTGAGGCGACAATGTACAGGTTTGAAAACACCCGCATTCCAACAAATCCACTTTTAGTGCACATCGAGAAGCCATGTTCCTCCAAAATGCTGTGTTTGTTCCTGAAAGTCAGATTTACCACAATTCCACAGGGGCCTTTTTGAGTGGCAGTGTCTATGGAATGGGACCAAAGAGCTTGTTCGCAGGTAAACAGATATTTTCACTCTTTTTGCGGTGAAGGGACTATAAAATAGCCCACACTTCACCTGTAAGTGGCGTTCACCTGCTGTGCTAGAGTAGTCATGGGAATTCTTGTGGAACTGAGGGATTTGTACTGCAACCCTAAATGGCTTCAGTTTGCATTAGTCCTGGGGCAATCCACTATCTGACCACTGCCTCGACCAAGACCTGCTCCAGGCTAACTAACCGCAGAAACAGGAAACAGCTTGTGTGCTACACGCTGATTTCATGCAGCCGTTTTTTTTTTTTTAAATGGCTCCGGTGGGAAGAAAACCGGAAGTGTCGTGCAGCAGGAGTGTCGCGAATGCGTCTGACACGATCCGTTCCACCCAAGGGGGAAGTCCATCAGCCGGAAGTTGAAGCCTCGCGGGAGCCACCATCGTAGCAGAACTTCACCTGCTGTTAGCATCCCATTGACTCCCATTCATTTTGGCGTCACTTTGACAGCGAATAGCTTTACATCTGAGGCGTCCAAAAACTTCATTTGTCCATTATTTATTTCTAAAGAAACACGACAATGTATAAAACACTCCATTACTTTGTATCTTACATTATGGCCCAGTAGATGCCGGTTTTTGTAAAAAATAGGCTAGAAATTGCGTCAGAACCAAGGGACTTTCTGTCGCACAATAGAGACATTACTGTATATAGACAGGAGGAGAAGCTCGCAGGCAATCTTTTACTGTCTATGAGGCAATCGGGGGGACATGAAGGCACAAAGTTAAGGTAGAAGCCCATAAATAGAGAGTCCATAACAGCAACGGGCCAAAATATTTCAACGTTTTAGCGGAATTAGGTGATTCAGATTTGTCTTGGCACAGCTATTTGAAGATTTTTTACTGTCAGGAACAGTGGATACGACACATGCCTTTGGTGTGAGAGACCCAGGTTCGAATCGACTTTAAGACACCAATGTGTCCCTGAGCAAGACACTTAACCCCTTGCTCCAGAGGCGTGCGGAAATTGTAAGTCGCTTTGGATAAAAGGTGTCAATTAATAAAAATATAAATGTAAAAAATGTATATATATATATATATATATATATATATATATATATGTGTGTGTGTGTGTGTGTGTGTGTGTCATGCCTATATGTATGTTTTCTTTTATTTTCATATTTCATTACATTATTTACGTAAGTTAACACCCAATACTTGAACAGTTTAAGGTGTAACTTTAATCTGGCAATTTAGGACGCAGCCTCTGTACACAGTAAACCAGCTCTTGGTCTTGGTTAAGCCGAAAATACATGACTCGGAGGCGCCGGGGCTTAAAAATCCTCCATGTCCTGCAGTAAAATATAAAGCAAAGGAAAAAAAATGCCAATAGCCAATTATGTCTCCTTAGCCGTTTACTCTTTATATCAAATGAATGATCAGGATGGTAGTGTACTCTCGCACCGTTGCTTGGCGCCAGCAGCAGCGATAATCGGGAACACCTGGTTGGGCAATTAGGAAATCCCACGAAGGCTATGGTGGGGCCTTCCAACCCGATCTCACGACCAAGTCGTACGAATTCGACTAATGATTAAAAAGTGGCTAATTCGTAACAATTCATACGACCTCACTCGTACGAATTAATACGATTTTGCTAAATCGTACATATTTTACGAATTGGCCAATTCGTATGAATTCGTACGAATGACCTACCCCTTACCCCGCCCCTAAACTTAACCATCACGTGGGTTAAGACAAATCGTACGAATTAGTACGAATTAGCCACTTTTTAATCATGCGTCGACTTCGTACGAATTGGTCGTGAGATAGTGTTGGGCCTTCACATTGGGACACACATACTACACCCAGATGAGTGTGTCCTCGGTGCCCAGCTACGATACAACAGGACCCTGTTCAAAACCCTGCATCGCCACAGAGCTCCATTTGCATGGTTTTATATTAAATTTTACATTTATTTGTCTCAAATCGTCCTTAATGTACATGGTTTCACCTTTTACAGTCTTTGGGTTTCACCCTGTGCTGTTTTCACTCGGGTTAACTAAACGCTAGCTAAATAAATACTTGTATTATGTGATAGTTGCCTTGATAATGGATAACGTTACAACAAAATAACAGACTTTAACGTGATAGACACTTTTACTTGATTAAAGTTAAAACATCAGCTTTTTCAATCAACATAAATAATAATAATAAATCAATTTAAACTCACACATCATGCAGTTGATTAGAATATGTGCGATACCTGGAGTTGTCCAGACGTGGCGCTGCGCTTCTCGTCCGGTGTGCTTTCCACCTCACTCTGGAGCATGCACACCTCTGTAGCACTTTTGTGTGGCAATTTTGAATCACTTGAATGAAAGCAAAAAAGAGACATAACTATTTGAAATTGAATTGAAATAGACCGGATGTTACCATGTGAATATTTAACTTTTTCGATCTGAATTTGAGCCGTCGAATTTGAGATTTTAATTTGAGCAGTCGAATTTAATGATTTTTTTTGTATCTAAATTGTGAGCATTGAAAAATATTCATCGAAATTCAGGTTTTTAAAATGCCAATCAATAATTTTCATAGGCCTATTTACATTTTAGAGGTAAATTCGAAACAAATTCAGATGCATGGTTTCCAAAGTAAAATAATTTCAAAGGGGTGAATTCAGAGCAAATAAATTCAGATAAATGTTTTTCAAAATAAAATATTTCAAAACTAAGTATTCAGGCTGTTAAATTTCATAGTTATGTCTCTTATTTGCTTCCATAATGAGTCATTCCTTGATCATGTCATTTATTGAATGGCAGTTGATGGGATATTGGGATTAGTTATTAATGGCACTGAAATATTATAGCTACTCAACCCCCATGTTTTTCTGGATAATAAACAGAAAATATTTACAACCAGTTTTAAGAGTTCTCAAATCATTTTTATATGCAAAATTAAACTACACAACAGAAACAGAATCAAAAGATGAATAACCCTTATTTATTTATTTATTTATTAACTTATTAGGCCTTTTGATTATTTTCAACATCCATGAATTCCAATAAGCAGTTCAACTTTAAGGATGTAGGCCTACTGTGATGGCCTATGATCCATGTAGCCTACTGCAGATGATAGAAATATAACAAAGAAGGCTGATTTGAGAAGTTTGTGTTGGTTGTATTGATTTTATATTGATTATGTAAGTGGTACAGCCAGCAGGTCTTCATCGTAAAATAAACATTGAAAACTCATCCTGAATGGGTTTATTTTTAATTCATTGTCTGTTGTGATGCGCGCGGCATTGCCATTGACGACACGCACAACAGAGAAAGCTGGAGTTCCTCAAATTGTGAAAAGCATTTGAGTTCAATCGCTTTCATAATTCATGTAACAGTAAATGATATAATTATTTGCTCTTTAGATTTATTTAATTATTTCCAATTTGATGTTTTGTTATTTGAGGTTCATTTTAATGAGTCGACAGTGGAAAAGCGTCTATTGGTCACTTTAAAGCTCTGTTGCATGAGAGCGCCATCTAATGGACAAATAAGATAAGACAAAGCATCTACGAATTCTCTAGTAAAGTATTTTTTTAAATATTTTCAATTAAAAAATGTATTTGTAAAACTATACTGTGAGATATATTACTGTATATTAGCTGTATCAAACAATATCGCTCCAGTATTTTCTTTTTTTTAATTTAATGCCAAATAAATAAATAATATAATTAAAATAAAATCTATCTATCTATCTATCTATCTATCTATCTATCTATCTATCTATCTATCTATCTATCTATCTATCTATCTATCTATCTATCTACATATTCTTGTTAAAAATGACTTAAAACTGCACCACAATTGCAATTTAATTGACATCGATTTTATTATATACATTATTATATACCTGTCAGATCAATTAGACTTCAGATATTTGAGAGAGAAGAAAAAATAAATCAAAACACTGCCATTAAAAACATGGCAGGAGTAAATGGTATTTTCCTTAAAGAAAAGGCAAGACAAAATCCAAGTTTTATGTATCTGACCAGAACAAAACTAGGGGGCAAAAGAGATTTGGCAACAGCAATGTTTGAATCAACCTTCTAAATATTGCAACAAATAGATCTCCACAGGCAAACAGCTCTTATCGGTGATCAACACTGTTATTTAACTAGTGCACAGAATAAAATAATAACCTTTAACATGAACTAAACTGAAACAGAAATGGGAGGATTACCCTGCTAATTTTACAGGATTTGATAGGGACAGGCAGAGTAAATGCACAAATGCATTACAAAGAAATTCCACTTCTGTCCTTTATTACTCTGATCTGGGCATTTCAAACTGCTTGCAAGTCTATTGTACGGTATATAAATAAGGTTAAGCTTTCCATATGATGATCCATTGTGAATACTTTTTCTGTAGTTTCTTGGCACTTGTTGTGAAATCCCATGTGTAAATTAGGGTTAGGGCTAACCCAAAATATTTTTGCGATATTCCACACGTAAAAACACAAGTGAAGATAGTAGAATTTCCATCATCCATACCAAGGGTGATAAACAGCTCCATCGTTAGCCATTCCAACACAATTGGCTTTTCATTTTTTTCGAAAGTGCCTGAATACGTTTACAAACTATTTATCTATATATAAGGCCTGAGTGAGCCGTACAACCCACAATAAATCTGATCATCTGACAGATTTCAGCTCTGCTCTACACAAAAGAGAGTTGCACATATAACTGAAGTCAAAAGACAAGGTTTAGCACCATGCCATTAAAATTAAATTCTAACGGTTCTTCACAACCATTCTGTAAGTAATGATCTTACCAAACCATGGTGTAAGTGGACACTTGAGTGTTTTCAGACATCAAAATTAGCGTGCTCTAAAATTGCAGCTACGAACAAGGTTGTCACTTTCCCAATTAGTGTTTTGATGCCAAATCTGATGACACAGTTGTACCTGCCACTTTTAGCTCAAAGCAGGGTCTTGTAAATATGAGGTTAAACAACTGCTAAATGTCCCTCTGACATCCTGATTTACAGACAAAAAAAAAAAGAAATCAAGGAATAGAACCTAGAAGAATTATACCTGATCAACATCGGAACTGCTTAAACAAGCAGCTGGTGTCTGTCCTAAAACACCAAGTGAACTAGCTGATTTTCTAGTTGCTGTGTTAGCCAAAATGCACCAGACTCATGACTGTAGTAAAAGAGTGTTGTAGTCCATCAGCATCCGTCTCGCTCAACGTGTAGTTCTCTTTGACAATACGGTCGCAGCCGATCTCCCCGTTTCCAAAGAATCCCAAGAGCGGAATGTTGGAGAAGATCTTCCGAAAGGCGTCGGCCTCCACGTTATGCTGGTTATTGTAGCTGTTGTGGCCACGGCCCACACAAGCAAACATGAAGCCCATGGTGTTTCTCTCTGGGATATTAGCAGCCTTCAGCCGCTGGATAGTGGCTTCTGCTGCTTTTGGGCTGTTCACGTCCTGGTCCACCAGAACTGAGGCACCCTGGATCTTGGAGCCACTGAAGGTTAGTCCTACTGCTCCAAAAGAGCCTGGAGAACAGCTGCAAAGAGAGATTGCATGTAGTAAATAACAGAGATATAACTGTAATAATGTCTGAGACTGTAGGGTAATGTGAGGAAATAAGAAGTGAAAAATGGCTTCCTGTATGTGACACTAAAGCAATGTTAAATGGTTAGTTCTGTATTTTACACTTAAAGCCCTGTTTTAAGATAGTTTCTGATGAAATAAAACAGTTAAGATTGAAATTTGGACAAATGCTGCTGTCCAAAACAAAGACATGAACCTCACCGAGAGGTCTGAGGTGTTCACTTGATATGCTCATACAAAAATCACTGCGAAAGATGCTTTCCAACAGCTTATCATAGTTTTCTATTGACTTGACTAGGTACAAAAACTACGATAAAACCTGTCGGAAAACATCTTTTGCAGCAAATTTTTTAACTTAACCGTTCTATTTCATCACAAACTATCTAAAACAGGGCTTTAAGTGTAAAATACCGAACTAACCCTTTAAATTACAAACTATCATGATGCGAATGATATGTTAGAAAGGTATAGTGTGAAAACATGCAAAGTAGATCTCATATTCATATAGGAGCAATTGTTGTATATATGAGTTGTTGACTGTAACAACACTTTACAACATGAGGGAAAAAATATTAAATAACTTGACTAATCTAAAATCAAGTTTACCATGAATTTTCTTTACTTACCAGGTTTTGTTAATGGAAAATACATCCTCAACTTGTCCTCCAATAATAAGTACATTACTTTGGGAAAGAGGTTTCAGAAGCTTGTTAAGAAAGCGTCCACCTCCAGATTTATATGTGTCGTAGTCGAACATCAGCACCACCTTTAGATCAGGGTTATTAATCAACCCTGAAATCAAATACAGATTATTTTGATATGACTTACCATAAAACTAAATCATTGGCTATATAAACTATGATTTCTCTCTTTTATTATATATAAATATACATTCATACTTTTATTCAGCAAGGATCATTAAACTAATTAAAAGTGACAAATTTATTTTTAATGTTAAAAAAGATTCTAGTTGAAAGAAACGCTGTTCTTTTGAACTTTCTATTAATCAAAGAATCCTGAAAAAAACTATAATGTTTTAATCAATGATAATGAGAAGAGTTTCATGAGCAGTTTTTAAAGGATCATGTGACACTGAAGACTGGAGTAATGGCTGCCGAAAATTAGCTGTAGCATTTTTTTTATTATTTTTTTTTGTAAATCGAAAAGTTATTTTAAATTCCATTATTTCACATTGTTACTTCTTTAACTATATTTTGGATCACATAAATGCAGCCTAAGATATTTTAAAACACATTTTAAAAAATCTTAAATGACCCCATACTTTCATTACTATTGTTGTCTAAATGTTACGGTTTTGTCCAACAATCTAAACACTTCACCTGCTTCCTCCATTGCAGTTTCACTTAGGGTCTTTTTGCAGAAGTGGAAAAGGCGGATGGTGACCCCGTCCATGGCAGGGAAAAGCAGACTGAAGCCAGCTTCACCCTCCTCGTGCTCCTGTGGGGGGCTGCTGGGTAATCCACTGGGGGTCACTACAGAACACAGCATAAGAAATGACAGTTACACTGTTGCACTGACATTGCACACAAACACAGCAAGGGTAGAACACAAGAAAAAAGAGAAAATTAATCTTACCCACAATTCCTGGTGCGACTACGCCTATTACTTCACAACTGCTAGGTAGTAAGCGTCTCAGCTTCTCAACAGGATCTGAGTCCACTTCATCCTCACACCTCCTGGCTACAGAGGAAGGATCGAAGAGAACAAGTGAGTCTCCTCATCATGACCGAGAGATTTATATATATATATATAGAAGTAATCAAGTAATGTACCTTTCCTGTGTCTGTGACTAACAGCCCCTGTGAAGTTCTCATGATTTACCATTAAGAGAGCTATCTGGGGCAGCAGACAGATATTCTGCAAGGGGGTCAGACAAGGCAACCATTTAAACAAATAGGAAAGAGTGAGATTGGCATTTCTAGAGCAGAAAAGACCATCAGACCTCCAAATCTTGTGCCATAGTTCTAAGTAAAACATGCTCTTCATATATGGATGATCCAGAGGCGGAGAGCCAGGTAAATCTCTGCCTCGTCCTCAGGACTCTGCGTGCACAATTCCTCCATAGCCTGCACACACTACGGAGAAAAGAAACAATGATATTTAAATACAAACTGATTCTGATTATTTTAGTTTTTACAGACTTAGGTCTGCATGCAACTGGTTGTTCATGTGGAAAGGTGTAAATTAAGATAACCATGGCATTTTTAATAAATCAATAAATTGCATATAGGCACGCACATACTATTACGTTCATTATTTTAACCGTATTGTTCAATAAAACCAGAATATTACTTTCTTTTAATACTTTATTGATCCAATTATGCATTTTAAAATCTATTGTTCATTTTAGGTACATTTATATTAACACCAAAAGGATCTAATCATTCAAGTAATCGATACAGCAGTATAATCAACAACACAGCATTTTATATTTATCAAACAAGCAGAGATGGTCTTACGAAATCAAGTGAGGAACGATAGAGTGACATTATCAACAAACACATACACAAAATAACTCTTAGACACTTTAGTTTATACAGTTTTTACATCCGATATATTTATATCAGTTTATAACTTTTAATAAAAGATAGTTTCGTAATGATAGTGACTGTTGTTAAAAGGTACAAAAATGATCTTCGTAATGAATGAACGGAACCGCTTTTGAACAAACTGTATCGGGTGTTTCTGAAATTTAACAAGTACAAATATTTTTGAAGTGTTTAGTTCCTATGGTTTAGTTGTTTATCATTTAAGATAAACTTTCAACAGAGCAGCTGTAAGGCTGTTAAGAGAAAATCGAAATAAATCAATCATCTGAAAGGAATAGTTAAACATTCATGAGTATGATGACTAGAAGTGACAACTGAAAACAACAATATTAATACATCACACTTTAAAACAATGCGGATCTACATCAACAACTGATGAATTCTAAGCTAGCTCATCGTTAACGTCATTTGAGAAGGAACATCACAAACCTATCTCAAATCGGACCAAAATAATCACTCAATAACGTAAACGTGTACAAATATCCCGTTAAACTACAAATTGAGTTTATACAATACCGCTTCAACTGTCTGTGATCTGATGGACTAAACGGGGTCTTAGCTCAAAGCTAATGGGCTAAACCATCTAACGTACAGTCAGCTAGAATCTTTAACGTTACCTCGCGATCCGGAAGAGATTTTTAGTCGGCACAAATGTCAAAATCCTTTCCACGACCTCGGCAACATTACTCAGGACATATCCTGCTTTGCTTTCCCACAAGATGTTTGGAAGAGCCGCATTCCCTTCCATTTTCACACGGATTATTTTCTCACATTTGACCCTACACGCGGAAGCTAACCGGAAGTTGTTTAAAAGTCTTACAATGGACGCCAGTACACGCCAGTGAAACCAGAGTGAAACCATAGAAAAACAGCTGACTACTGGAACATGTTTACTTTGTTTGCATTTATTATCAGTAATTTTTTTCAGCAAAGATTATTTAAATAAGAAATTATACACAGTCTAGTACAGTCTGCCTTCATTTTATAAAGTCAGTGCTGCTGGTAGGGATTACATGTAATCTGGATTACTCCAAAAATTACGTAGGCCTACTTGTAATTAGATTATATTACGTTTTAAAATACTCATAATTAGACTACAGTTACTTTTTTTTTTACTGATTAAAAACTGTTTTCAATTTTCCTTTCTAAAAAAAGTCTACTGCTTCATATGTTCAGAAGGTCTTCCAGGTCTGAGGAATCGCACACACAGGCCGATCACAGAAAACTGAGACCCACGGCATTTGATCTCTTAAAAAAATCATTTCACTTTTCAGAAGGGTTTTCTCAACATTGCATATCTAATCAACAGAAATATATTTTCTTTCTCTTTGTATCAAAATGGTAAAAGATTATCCTATTCAAATCATAAACAAGTTAGTCAAAAGTAATCTAAAAGTAATCAGATACATGTGTGATGTAATGAATTATACTAACTTACTACAATACTAAAATACCAGCCGACTACAATAATCTACCCAGCACTGTATATAGCCTATGTATTTGGTCAATAAAGAAACAAGGCATTAGGCATTTTGAGATTAGATTATTTTTTATTTTATTCAGGTATATTGATCATTTTGGCAGTTGCAAAAAAATGTAAACATTTATATTTGTGTACCTGAGGGAGGTGCATTGCATTTATGCATGTTACATGTGTCTTATTCAGTTTCTTGCTCTAGTCATATTTTCTGATTTTAGAAGTATATAGCCTATAAACAATCAACTCTTATAACACAACACACCTTTGGTAATGATCCAAAGTGAGTTTTATAATGCAGAAGGCACTTCCACCTTTCTGTAAACTTTTCCTCTATACGTAAAATACATTGAAAGGTCAAGGACACAGTCATCATTTCAAGGACATCATTTAATGGACACAGGTTGCCATGATATTATTAAATTTAAGATTTAAGCTTTAGGTTTTATGGCAACCCATAGACAGTAAATCTTTTTCATTGTATTGTATATTTTTAACCCTGACATAAAAAGATCAAGCTCTCCAATATCAACAATAATAGAATAATGAAATTATGGATCTGTCATCCATAGATTATTGGTTACTCTGTGTACACCACAAACAATAGACAGAATGTAAAATTTAGGGTACATCCTGTTTGTTTGTTTTTTTGTTTGTTTTTTTACTTATATAATGAGATTAGAATTCATTAAGTGCTAAACTGAGCTCATGTGAAAGGACCCGGTTTTTCTGGAGCTGTTGATATAGGGGGTCTGGCAAGAAGAGAAGAGAAGAGAAGAGAAGAGAAGAGAAGAGAAGAGAAGAGAAGAGAAGAGAAGAGAAGAGAAGAGAAGAGAAGAGAAGAGAAGAGAAGAGAAGAGAAGAGAAGAGAAGAGAAGAGAGGAAATTAAAGGAAAGATGTTAGTAAGAGCATTTACCCAAAATGGTTTATTAAAGATTATGCTGAAATCTTTCTTTCAATACTATATTTACAATATCAGAGCCTTTGGTGCAAAGTCATGATGGTATGAATATGATCATTACAGAGAAGCAACATGAGGTGATGAGAAGGAACTTTTTTTTGGATTTTATTCAAGCTTCTCAACAATAAATTAAGGACATATGAAATCAAAAGAGTTAAGACATACTAAAGAGAGAAAGGAGTGGGGAGCTTACAGAGATGGGAGGAAGTTTTATTTTACAGAAAGCAAAAAATTTCTGTACAAGTGATAGGACTATAGTGCTGAGTGCTCCATCCCCACTGAGAATAGTGTGATGGAGAAGGCGGCAACAGAGAAAAAGACAGAAACATGGAAGAAAATGAAGAAGATGCCGCTCAGATGGTGCCCGGAGCCAGAGATGAGATGTAAAAAATTTAACTGTGCAGGGGGGAAAAAAGAGAAAAAAAGAGTTGAAACAAATGATAGATGGGGATTTTGAACAACAAGGGTCATGCAAGAGATTAATAAAAGTGTCATCATGTATTGCAAATAATAAAGCTTGTGTGTAATCACTTTATACTGAGTTAATCAATAGAAACACTTATGTGATGCAGGCTCTAAAATGTATAGTGGATTCTAAAATCCATCAGCTAACCTGAAAATGAATTTATATTAGCAGACAGAGAATCTGGAAATGCTATAAATCCAAAAGCACATGTGCACACTGGAGTAACAGGTGGGGATAGTTACATGGAGGTCATGTCATTGAGAGCGTGGTCCAGCTCCTCGCTGATGGCTTTGTACTTGAGTTTCTGAGCATACAATTCATCTAAAGTAGCCAATTAAAGGCCAGAACGGTGGAAGGTGTTGAATGGAGTGGAATGGAAAAGAATGGAGAAACAAGAAAATAAGGGAGAGGAAGCAGTGCAAAGGCGGATTGAAAAGTGACAAGTGACCATAGAGAGACAGAAAAAGGAAAGGCTAAGAAAAAACACAAAAAATAAACAGAAATGAAATGAGGTGAGATTGCCTTCTTCAATAATGAGAAAAATATGATCTTTTAAATACCTACAGATAACAGTGCCGTTAAGTACTGCTGGTAATTTAAAGGCGTATCTTTTAAATCACTCTATGAATTGTTAATAGCAACATTAGAAATAAAAGTTTCAAAATGGGGTTTTCCCAGCGATGCCATAGAGGAACCATTTTGGTTTCCTCAAAGAACATTTCAGTGATCAGTTCTTTAAAGAACCTTTTGTTTTTCTTCATGTGAAGAACATTTTATACAGAACCTTTTGTGCAATGGAAAAGTTCCATTGGATGTTAAAGGTTCTTTGTGGAAGCTAAATAGCTTGTTTTAACCCATCTCTAATAGCAGCATGAAAAACAGTGAGGTACAAGTAGACATACCCTCCAGATCATCAATGGTCTTCTCAAGCTTGGCGACTGATCTCTCAGCGAACTCAGCACGAGTCTCAGCCTGGAACACAGAAAGTTTGTCAGGCCCTCTTAGGCTATATCAGTGCTCACACACACCAAAAAATTGGTGATGAACTCACCTCCTTCAGCTTGTCAGTCAAGACCTTGATCTCCTCCTCATATTTGTCCTCCTTAGCGGAGTACTGTAGATGGAAAAGACAAGCTTTAAACACCAACACTCAAAACAAATATACACAGATGATCATTCATACATAAATACCTCTACACACACACAATATTTACACGCTTACCTTCTCAGCCTGGGCCTCCAGAGACTTCATGGTGTTGGTCACAGTTTTCAACTCCTCCTCCAGCTCAGAGCACTTGCTGTGGGAGAGAGTGACAGAAAATATGAGACAAAAATAACCAGGCATAGATTAAGGTAAGCATATTTTTTATAAAGTATTTGTTTGTTTCTACCCCTCATTGAGCTCAGCACGCTCCTCAGTACGCTCCAGCTCAGCCTCAACAATCACCAGCTTACGGGCCACCTGTGTGCCATCACAAAAGAGAACAAATGTAAGTCATTCGTTTATGCTGTCCAAGGGGAAGACGTTTTTTTTTATATATATATATTTGGATTATATTTGGCCTTATAAGAGAGAGAGAAAAGAGAGAAAACTTACCTCCTCATACTTGCGGTCAGCCTCCTCAGCAATGTGCTTGGCCTCCTTCAACTGGATCTCCTGCAGCTCCATCTTCTCCTCATCCTTCAGGGCCCTGTTCTCAATGACCTTCATGCCTCTGAAAGCAAGAGAGAGAGTTTGAGTGTTAATATTACACCCTAAAAATCATGAGACCTATACATATATAGCATTTATTTAACACTGATTCAAAATTAGATAGTTTCAAAACGTCTGTCCTTCTCTTAAAATGGGGATTTTGGGCTGGTTTCAGCTTTTTTTTTAACTTTTTTTCTACTATATCTATACTTTTGTAATAACTTGACAAAATCTACTGAATTGATATTCAATTCACTGTAACAAAAAACGTAATATTGTTATAAACTGTAATATCCAATTTTTTAATTGACTTTTATTAAACTGATTTAATTTTATACACTCTAAAAAATGCTGGGTTGTTTTACCCCAATTTTGGGTAAAATATGGACAAACCCAAACATTGGGTTAAAAATGTCAATATAAAATGTAACCCAATGGTTGGGTTTGTCCATATCTGACCCAAAGTTGGGGTGAAAAACCCAACCTTTTTTAGAATGTATCTGTCTAAAGTTTATTGCTAGAAAATTCCATATCATAGTTTTAAATTGTATTTATACTTCTCTTTTTTATTTGGAAAAAAAATGTGAACATATTTTGTTTGTGTGTGTGTGTGGGGGGGGGGGGTAGTTTGACTTCACTAGATAGTTTCACTTGCATTTTATTGACAAATCTCTGCTTATTGAGAGTCTCAGGCCCTGCTTTGTTTCCATACACACCTCTCGCTCTCATCAGCAGCCTTCTCAGCCTCCTCCAGCTTCTGCAGAGCAGTGGCCAGACGCTCCTGAGCGCGATCCAACTCCTCCTCAACCAGCTGGATGCGTCTGTTCAGGGAAGCGACGTCGCTCTCAGCCTGCGCACACACAGAATGATCTCACGACGCGCACTGATACGTCAAGACATGCACATCTCCCCTGGTGCAGAAATATCTCTAGAACTAATAAAGCTTTTCCGTGTGAGTTGTGATGTGTTGCACAAAACATGTAAAGGCTATCGTCAAGGATTTTTGGTAAACATTAGCACTGAAACTAAGGCAAGAGGACGGGAGCTGTCAAAATGCGTTCACCGCCCTTCTCCATATGTTGAGCGCCAGTTCACCATCAATCATCGCGACTTTCTAACGACGCGAAACACTGACAACGTTGTTTAAACGTAATTTCCATGCCCTTTGACGTGATGTGATGCGAAAACGCCCTACATT